ACAATAAAAAACATGGATACCTATCCTTTACGAGATGAATGGAATAATCCTATCACAGATCTAGATGAGGAAATTTCCGATAATGAAGGAGCAGGAGTGTCGTCATCAAATCGCAGACAGGAAAAAGATATTCCTGTTGCGACAGACCCCCAAGACTTTCTCGAAACTATAATAAACGAAAATGAATACCCTTGGCGATCAAGTTTTCACAAGGAAGCAATACGAGGAAGTCGATCAGCAAACCCACGATCAATGTCTGGACCTTCCAAACAGCCTAAAGAAAAGAATGTAGAAAAGACGTTGGAAAAGAAAAAAACGAACGTAGAAAAGACGACAGATAAAACCCCTGTACTACTTAAGAAAAACAAAGAAGATGATAGTAAGAAAAACAAAGAAAGAAATAAAAAAGAAAAGAAGAAAATACTTACCGATAATTTTGACTCGAGTTCTGGATCCGATTCCGATGATCCAAAGAAATCAAGAAATTCAGCCATACCAGAATTTCCAGAAATCGCCCCATCTAACGCCACCCACATAATAAAGGAACATAAAATTCCTTCATTTCATGGAGATGACGATGATGAAGACCCAATTGAATGGTTACATGACTTGATTAAAGTCAGTGAAGCTAATAGTTGGGATAGAGCAACGGCTTTACGTCAAATACCCATTGCCTTGAAAGACATAGCGGCCGATTGGTACCAAGAATTACCAAAGGAAATAAAAGAAGATATGGATCAATTTATTCAAACATTTGCCGAACAATTTTCAAATACAGCAATAGCTGCTAAATTACATGCACGGATCACAACCTTAAAGAAGAAGACTGATGATAGCGTCGCCCAATACTACGGCAAATTTTCAAAATTACTACGACGCGCCGATCCAGGAAATGAATACTATTCCATTAAACAGAAAGCCGATCTCTTCATTCGAGGCTTAGATAAGAAACTTCAAAAAAAAGTTTTCAGTCCTAAGATTAAGACTTTGGCCGAAGCGTACAAAAAGGCGAAAGAAGCTGAAACAATGCTCACCTATAACGATTTCACCACCAGCATAAATGCGGTATTGGATGGCGAAACGGAAAATGCCGACGGAAGAAGAATAAAACGTTTGGAGAAAACCATCCAAACATTGGTAGCCGAACAGAGAGAAAATCGACGAATCGAAAGACCAACGGATGATGAAAAGAAATGCCATTATTGTGGAAGAAAAGGACATTTGATGCGAGAATGTCGAACGAGATTATTCGATCAAAGGAAAGAACAATCCACCAATCAAAACCGATCATTCAACGCTTATCACACACCTCGATATAATCAACGACCATTTAGGCCGTACCGAGATCAACAATTGCCAATTAGGCAAGATCTTCGAGACAATCGAGGAAACCAAACATTCCGAAACAACCAGAACTATCAGACATTTGGACAACAGTTTCAAAGAAGAAATTATAATCGAACAGGTCAACAAGGTTATAATAATAATAATAATAATCGTCGACCGGCAATACCACGCGCCGCTCAAAGAACTTACTTAAATCTAGGACAAGAACCAGAAGATCCTATTGTTGTTGAAAGTTCGGACGAATCAAAGACTGAAGAATCTGACGAAGAATCTGAAGACGATTCCATTATGGCCTTAGTGGCTACATCGTCCAGAAAGAAAATTACAGCAATGACTACCGACGCCGAAGTGGACGGAGTAGAATTCAAATTAATCATCGACTCCGGATCTGCTGGTAGTATCATTACCAAAAGATTGTTAGAAAAATTGAAACGATCAATCAATAGACCGTCTAAAACAAGTATTATCACTGCTAATGGTGAACAGACAACACCAATTGGAGAAATTGATGACCTACCTTTCATCATAGCCGGAATCAAAATTCCGATCAAAGTCTTAGTCGTAGATGCTCCACAATATCTCGCACTCGTAGGAAACGACTGGCTCGGAAAAGCTCACGCTAATTTGGACTATCATAGTAATTGGTTGTCTATCTCCTATAATGGACAAGAAACTACAGTACCAATCAGCTATTATAAACATAAAGAATTGGAACGAGATCCATTCAAGCCTATAGTCGAATATCAAACTATAACCATGAATGAATTAATTGCTAGAAAAAGGAATGCACCAATAAAAGGAAAGCAACGGTGGAGACGACCAAAGCTCGAATGTGTTGAGTGTGGGAAGAAATTATCTTCCATGTCCACCACCATCCATCCTGATGAAAATTGGGGACAAGAAACCCATTATTATTGCAATCGATGTAATAACCGATGCTTCGGATACCTCGAGAACAAAGGATTATGGGACGGAACTCCATGTCTTACTTGCGGAACAGTCATGTCTACTAAATACGATTGGATGGATTTCTCCAGACAGGGAGCCGTATGCGATTTCACCTGCCAATATGCTTATTTGGTAGTAGAATGGACCAAAGAAGGAACACCCTTTCAACAGGCTTATTGGAGAGCCATAAATCGTCTTGAACGAGGACTCTACCCGCATGATTCCGAAAAGATCAAACGGTTAGCAGATGGAATGTTACGAGGAGTAACTAAAGAAGAAGTAAGAGAAATGAAAGATCAGGAATATTACGCTTATGTTGATGAAATAGCCGAATATAACTGGCTTGATGATGCTACTATATTTCAAGAAAATTATCAACGGTTATGTCCGACTCGACGAGAACAGGAACAAAGGTTAAAAGGGATGGGACTCACACTATGCGAAGGATGTCGAATGCCTTGTCAAGACCAATATTGTGATGAATGTTGGCCAGAAATGATTCCAGTTCCAGACGAAGGATGGACCGATTCAGTCGATTGGTTTGAAGAAACAGAAGAAATATACGAAGTTCTACTTGATCACCCTATACCTATTGATTTCAAAGGGTATGAACCGATGAAACCCATAAAACATAAACGAAAGAAGAAAGAAACAACATTAAAATATTACAATGACCAAAATTTGGGGTTACAACCTGAAAAAGCTCACCTCAACGATGCTGGATTCGATTTAAAATATCCAGGGAAAGAATCATTAGTATTACCACCTCGAACGGTTACGACAATCGATTTGAAGATAGCAGTAGAAGTTCCTCAAGGATCCATGATGCAATTAGCATCCCGATCCTCACTCGCTGCAAAAGGGATAACGGTAAAAGGAGGTGTGATTGACGCTGGATATATTGGAAATATAGGACTTATATTAGAAAATAATTCAAAAACGCCTTATAAAGTTCAGCCTAATGAAAAGATTGGCCAGGCAATTTATTTACCGATCTTACCGGTGTCTAAATTGGAAACCGTCAGCAATCGGGAAGAACTAGGTGTTAGCAATCGAGGAACAAAAGGGTTCGGATCAACCGGACGGGTTAGTAAACCACCGGTATTGTCCACTGTAATAGAAGAAACCGAAGAAAACGATGGTATACCAGTCTTATTGGAAAAGACAATTTCGATCTTACCAAAAGGAATGATAGTATGGGAAAATCGAAATGGAACCCAACTCAGTTCAAAATCTTTATTATTTGAGCCTAATAAAGAACTATTCGAAAGATATAATGTCATTTGCAATTACCAATATATTCATCCAGGAAAACAATATAAAATTCAACTTACCCTCATAAATCAAAATGACCAAATTACCATTCTCGAGGAAGGAACTATTTTGGGATATCTGAGCGACGATGTTGAATGGATTAAAAGTTTTTACAATGCTAAAGAAATGATTCGATACTTTGGAAACGACATTCAAAAAGATGTCCCACCGACATCTAAGAACAAAACGGTCGAATCTTATTTATTAACAGCTGACGACTTACCAAAAGTAAATGTTGGACCAATTACCGAAAAACAAAGGAACCAACTCGATCAACTTTTGTTGAAATACGCCGATCTATTTGCGACAGATGATAACGATCTTGGACAAACTAATGTAGTTCGCCATAAAATCGATACTGGAGAAGAAAGACCAATTAAACAGAGAGCATATCGAACCCCTCCAAAATCCAACGAATTTATCGCTGAAGAAATTCAACGCATGCTGAAAAATGGTATAATTCAACCATCGACGAGTCCTTGGGCATCTCCAGTAGTTCTTGTAAAGAAAAAGAATGGAAAGATGCGATTTTGTGTTGATTATAGAAAAGTAAATGCGATTACTAAAAAAGATGCTTACCCATTACCACGAATCGACGAAATACTTGATTCACTTGGAAATTCACAATGGTTCTCTACACTTGACCTTGCTAGTGGATATTGGCAAGTGGAAATGGATCCAAATGATCGAGAAAAAACGGCTTTCACGACTCAACATGGTATCTTCGAATTCAATGTAATGCCTTTTGGCCTCACCAATGCACCAGCTACTTTTCAACGTCTAATGGATATCGTTTATTCTGGATTGGCCTGGACTTTCCTTGTGATATACCTTGATGATACAAATATTCATTCACCAACATTTGGAAGTCATTTAGACCATCTCCAACAAACATTTGATCGTCTAAAGAAAGCAGGATTACGATTAAATATTCAGAAATGTCACTTTTGCAAAGAAAATCTCGCATTCCTAGGACATATAATAGGAAAAGATGGGATTAGTCCAGATCCAGCAAAAATCAACAAAGTAGTAGAATTCCCTCAACCGACTAATCTAACCGAATTGAGAGGATTTCTGGGACTAGCTTCATATTATCGACGGTTCATTCAAGGATTTTCTGAAATAGCTCATCCTCTACACCAATTATTAAAGAAAGAAGAATTATATATTTGGACCGAAGAAAAACAACAAGCATTCAACAAATTAAAAGAAAAATTAACGACTGCTCCAATTCTAATATATCCAAACTTCAAAAAGAAATTCATCTTATCGACTGACGCTTCTAAAATGGGAATAGGAGCCATTTTATCACAGAAAAACGATAATGATCAAGAACAGGTCGTAGCGTATGCTAGTCGTGGTTTATCACCAGCTGAACAAAATTACGCTGTTCATGAGATGGAATGTTTAGCTGTCGTCTGGGCAGTAAAATATTTTCGTCAATATCTTCTCGAAAAGAAATTTGACATTATAACCGATCACGTAGGACTTACGTGGCTTTTAAAGAAATCCACATCCACAGGACGTTTGATGCGATGGATCATTACTCTCCAAGAATACGATTTCAATGTTATCTATAAACCAGGAAGAAAACATTCAAACGTCGACGCACTATCTAGAATACCAAATCAAAAGAAATCTAAACGAACTAAACGAACTAATCGATATAATACACCAAATAATAATATTAATAATTAAAATCATGAATGAAAAAGAATATAATAATATAATAACTCACCTAAAAGATTTAACAACAATAGCGAAATTATCGCTTGATCAACAAAGAACTATTAAAAGAAAGATTAAAAATTTTATAATTATTGAAAATAAATTATATCGACAAAAAGAAAATGAACAACGACCAAAAAGAGTAATAAAACAAAACGAAAAGGAAATTATCCTTTACAACTTACATGATGACGCGACCGCCGGACATCTAGGACAAAATATTACCATAACAAAAGTCAAAGAAAGATATTATTGGCCTAATCTAACAGAAGACGTAAAAGAATATATTCGATCTTGTGAAATTTGTCAGCAAAGAGGACGACCAAAAGTAAATGAAAAATTAAACCCAATTAGGGTAGGGAAACCATTCGATCGGATTGGAATCGACATTGTAGGACCGCTTCCAGTCACTTCAAATCGAAACCAATTTATAGTAGTTGCTATGGACTACTTGACGAAATGGCCGGAAGCAAGAGCCATTCGTAGAGCTAACGCTGCCAACGTTGAAGCATTTATTAAAGAAGATATAATAGCCCGACATGGATGCCCTTTAGAAATTTTATCAGATCAAGGAACGCACTTTGTAAATGAGACAATTAGTCGACTGTGTGAAAAAATGAAAATCAAACGAACATTATCTTCACCATACCATCCTCAGACCAACGGATTAGTGGAACGATTCAATCGAACATTATGCGAATCTTTAGCAAAATTATCCATACAATCTAGAACTCATTGGGACGAACATATATCGGCTGTATTGCTTGCTTATCGAACTTCTCGACAAGATACTACTCGATATTCACCTTTTGAATTAACCTATGGAAGAAATGCAGTCTTACCTATTGACTTAGAAATTCCAATAGAAATTGAAATAAATGATGATTATCAACAAATAATGAAGAAAAGAATGTTTGATGTTATCTTTTTGTTAAACGAAAAACGATTGGAAGCAAAATCGAATATAGAAAAAGCCCAACACAAACAAAAAGAACGCCATGACACAAACCTTCTACAACAGGAATTCAATATTGACGATCTCGTACTCGTGTACAGGAGTAAAGCGGACAAGCAATGGAGCGGAAAACTTGATCCAAAGTGGGATGGACCATACAAAATCCACCAAAAACTCAATAACGGTGCTTATCAACTTATTGACGAAAACGGAATACACGCCAAATATGTACATGGGAATAGACTCAAACATTACAAAAATAGAAACACAGAAGAAACTGAATTCGTGGACGAATCATCTAACGAAGAAGGGGAAGAATCTTCAGAAAAAGAACCAATCATA